TGCGACCGCCGGCTGCGACCCTACCTCCACGTACACGGTCGCAACCGCCTCTACAACGACCACAGGGTACAATTTTCTTTTTACTCTTTTAGTTGTATTTAGTTGAAGATGGAAACTTATTTGATAGTGTCAGTAGCTAGCACAAAGTCAACGTGAGAAGTTAGAAGTAACATCCTAGAACGACGGTGATGTAGGCCCGTGGTCTCTGCCTACCCCTCTAGCTACGGTCGTGAGTTGTTATTTAAGAAAAAATTCAATTCTTGCAGGTCGTGACGTGGAGGCAGGAGAGCGCTCACCGGCGCTCTATGACCGTTACAATCGCGATATGTATCAAGAAGAAGACGGTAAGACTGATAGCTTCATGTTTGTCTTGTTTGTCTGTTACATCATTTTTGTAATATATAAAAAGGTTCAGATCTTCATTTAAATGCATTAAAAGATACATTTTACATCCAATTGTTTATTACAGAGGATTTTCCAAAAATTTCATTGCCCCTGCAAGATTTACAAGCAGCATTGAAAGACTTAGAAGATCATCAGTTCAAATTAAACTCTAAAACGGAACTGAGAAGTAAATCATTGCCGCGACCTGCGAAAGCTAAACCTGAGTTTGGAGCGAGGAGGGACTTTGACGACAGACGTTATGACATTGAAGATAACGATGTGTATGAAATGCACGACCTTCATGATGTCGATTATGAGAATTTTAAAGAAAGGAAAGCATTAGAAAGAGAGAGGCGGAGGGAAAGAGAAGACTATAGCTACCGCGATCGCGGCTACGATCCTGAAGATGATGACTACGAAGTTGAAAGGCCAAGAGTTAGGAGAACTGGATATGATAGAAGGTAAATTTCACTTTCTAGAAGTTTCTATGTATACTTTTATTACGACGTCTACTCATCGTGTACCCAGAAATATAGTTGAATACTTCTTTACGTATTACTATCCATATTAATCTCAAATATAAGTAAATTCTGTCTTAGGATGGATCGTGGTAGATCGGAGTATTATGAACGCGACATAGAAGATTATGAAATAGAGAGACGACGCGACCGTCGCGCGCGTAGTGCAGCGTACGACGGCGATAGACGATGGGGAGGGGAACGTTACAGAGAAGACCGGTGGAG